CCAGGAGAGGCCAGGGTCGCTGGAACTGAGGGGAATAAGGTATAAGAAGGGCAGACTGCCCCAGGAGGGAAGCAGCAGGTCAAAGGTTTTGTGCCACCAGTAATGGGATCAGGCCCAAGAGTGGACACTCCATGTCCAAAGGAAAAAATACATATGCAACAAAAACAAAGCAGGGTTGGTGAGTTTGGGCTGGATAGCAGTTTCTGTGAAAATGAAATGAGGCTTTCAGAGGAACTTGCGAGGAAGAGTGGAGCCAGTACAGTAAGGGGGCCAAACGCTAGACTGAACAAGCATGCCTGGGGTGGAGCTGAGGCCGCAGATAGCGGAATCGCAGAATGTGAGGGCTTGAAGGGGCTTCCCCTACCGCCCAACCCGTCCTCTGGAGCACTGGAGAAAGAAGTGACTGTCCTCTGCTCGAAGATGTCCAAGGAGGAGGACCTGCCGCCATTGTGGATGGCTCCCCTCATGAGGAAGTTTTTCCCAAGTCGATCCCTTTGCAAAGCCGCCCTCCCGAAGCCTCCTGTTGCTTCTGGGTCAATTCTCCATGTTCGGATTCCACTTTGCACGTGTTCAGATACTGGAATAGAGCCACTTCCTCTTCCCTCTAAGCTGAGTGCACCCAGACTCTTGAACCATTTGCCATCTGTTGTGGCCTTGAGCCCCTTTTACCATTCTGCCTGCTCCTGCTCAAGCACCTTCACTCTGACCTGCTGGCCACAGAAGAAAAGAAACCAGAGGCAGAAGCCACAAAGACAATTTGCGTCTTCCTCTCAACAGATCAAAGCAAGCCTGCTCCTGTAAAACCAAACTAGGCATGAAAGTTCACACCAGCAGGACGCACTAAAGATGCATCTTCAGTAACATTTTGTCCAAATGGACTAAATTAGCAGGTTCTTCTGCAGATAAGCTCACGAAAATGTGGGGAGCGTATGACGGAAAATCTGAGAAAACCCTGTCTTGGCACAAACTAGGAATTTCAGATCTTGTCTGGTCGTCAGGTTCTTGTGTCTGCTTGAGCTCATCAGACTCTTAAGCTGTGGGATGCCAGCTCTGGGAAGGGTCTGAAAACACTGAAGAGTCACTGGGATGATGTCTTTTTGTTGCAAATTTAATCCCCAATCTAACCCCATCACTTCAGGCTCTTTTGATGAAAGTGTAAAGATATGGGAAGGGCAGCTAGGTGGCACAGTAGATAGGGCATCAGCAGGCCTGGAGTCAGGAAGTCCTGCATTCAAATCCATCCTCAGACACTTCCTACCTGTGGGACTCTGGGCAAGTCACTTTACTCTGTTTGCCTCAGTTTTCTCATCTGTAAAATGAGCTGGAGGAGGAAATGGCAAACCACTGCAGTATCTCTGCCAAGAAAAAAGAAATGGGTTCACGAAGAGGTGGACGTGATTGAAAACAACCAAAGAACAAGAGCTGCAAAGAGGATATGGTCTGAAAACACCAAAGTCCCTCAAGACTTCAGCTGTTCACTGTAATTATGATGGATCCTTGATAATGTCAAGTTGTTATGATGGAAGGTCAGTGCTATTATTATTCCCATTTTACAGAGGAGGAAACTGAGCAAACAAGAGGTTAAGTGATTCGCCCAGATTCATATGGCTAGTAAATGTGTGAGGCTCGATTTGAATCTAAGTCTTCCCAACTCCAAGCCCAGCATCACCTGACTCATGGATATAGGGGAGAGTGTCACCAGGGTATCAAGGGGAAGTGTTTATGCTTTTGTTCTTGCCATAACTTAGAATTAAATATCCCTTTGAAGAAGCTAATAGATGTTAATTGGCCAAGTGGAATTCGGGTGGAAATAGGGTGATTAGGGTCACTGGTGATTAGGCTGGGTGGGTCGATGGGAATTCCAGAGTGGTTAGCGTCAGTTGCCCCTTCTCTGTCTGGCCTCTTCCTCGAGTGCCTTCTCTCACTTTGGATGGACACTACCCTATGGTGTTGGGGGCCTGATGGCCCTGGTCCATGCTTTCTAGGCAAGGGAATTTCTTGAGATTAGTTGAGCGAGTCCAGATCTATTCTCCCAGAAAAACAGCCCCAAGGTCCCTCATTGGGCTTTGGGGGCCCCCTTCCCACCACCACCCTGCTGGCTGTTAGCTGGAGATCCTAGCAACTTGGAATGGCTGCCCTTAATCTGGGTTGCTGGCCTGATTTCCCTTCCTCTGACTCCCCCAGGACTCCAGCTGGCTGGGTTTCTGTCCTCTTCCTCAGTGCCCACCCCATGTTTCCCATATGTCTGTCACTAAGCCATGAGAGTGGGCACCTCCTGCCTTTTTTGTAGTTGTCAGTCAATTTGTTACTGATTTTTTCAAAATAAAAATGAAGTTTTCTTAAAACTTCCTCCCAAATAAAGAAAAGCTCTTCCCAAAGTGACTCCATCCTTTGTCTCCAGATTCATTAGACATCGCTTCCCTTCACACACAATTATGGTTCAGCCAAACCAGCCTTTTTGCTGTTCCTCCAACTCATCGCTCCCTCCCTCCCCGCTGCCATCTGCAGTCCCCCCCCCCTTTCAGGTTTCAAGCACAGGGGGACCTCATTCCTCCAATCCCAAGCCCTGGTTGCCCCTGGAGCGCTCTCCGTGGTGCTGACCGCACATGCTTCCGCTGGGGTCTGTCGGCTTCTTTAGGTTTTGGGGAGCAAAGCAATACCCTGCAGATCCCTCTGCAAAGGGACGAACATGCCATCCGCCTGCAAAGAGGGGCTCCTGAGCAGACTGGCAGCTGGAAAAGGGCTCCTACAGGCTTTTTCGGGGAAATGGAAACATCCTTTCCTCCCTCCACCCAGGACCCAGTCATAGGAGGGGGCAGGAATCGGGCTCTCTAGGGTCCTGTCCAACTTCATTTTATTAGGTGACCAATTAGGTGAGTTAAATCACTAATGTTGACGCTTCGCATCCCCCCTCCCAGTGCCCCGAGACTCCACTATTAGACACACACTCCAGGCAAGCTCTAAGACAAAAAGGCCCAGAGAAACCCCCAAATATTTTCATAGCACATCGGGGAGGAATTACAAAGAACTGGAAACAACCCAGGCGATCCTCAGGTGGGGAGAGACTGAACAGACTGGGATTCCCAGGGGAGGGACAGAACTGTGGTCCAAGAGCCAAAACAGGAAACCTTATGGACACAATGCCTACAGCAGAAAAGATGACTGCTAAGTGAGCCCCAGGAAAGCGCACCACCATAGAAGCTCGTGGGAGAGAGCGAGCTAAGAGAAAGCACCTCCCTCTGATGTCAACAGAGGTGGGCTCCTGCACACACTTGTAGGCCCCTTCAGGTGTTCCACAGGATGCCTCAATTTCTTCCCCTTTAAAAATGTATGAGATGGGGTTTGATGGGCAAAGAAGAGTACGGGGGGGTGATGAATTTAGAAATTAAGATGTTTTTACAAAGGGTGGCAACAATTTAATGTTTGTAAAAATCTGGGCAGACATCAGCAGTCAAATTCAAACAAATAGTCTCAGCTGTTCATGAGCGAAGCCCTGGGTGCCACAGGCTTCCTTTCTCCTTGATTTCCTGGTAGGCCCCTGACCCAAGAGCCCAGGCATATCAGAGCATATCCTAACTTGACTGGTCAGCTGCTGGCTGGGTCTAGCAGTCTTTCACTGGACCCATTAATCCTCATTCTGCGCCCTTAAAACCACCTTTTGGGGAGGCAGCCTGGAATGGTAGATAGCAGGCCTGGGAAGACTCCAGAGCATAACAACCACACCAGGCCCTGGGCTAAGCCCTTTATGGAACTTTTCTCAGTTAATCTTTATAACCGCTCTGGAAAGCAGATGTTAATACCCCCACTTTACAAATGATGAAACTGAGGCAGAGAGCAGTTAAGGACTTGTCCAAAGTCACCCAGCTAATAAATGTATGAGGCTAGATTTGAACTCAGATCTTGCTAACTCCAGGCCCAGTGCTCTGTGCAGCAGCCTGACAGTAACCTCTATGCAAACCTTAAGCCACTGTTACAATGTCAGGGTGGTGGCTGCTACCATGCTTGGGAGATACTGAAAGAAAGGCCTTGGCAGGGGAGGGAGGATAGGCCACAGACTGAAAAAAAGGTGTGTGGCTCAATTTCCCAGAAAGGGAAGGCAGGTTCCACAAATGTCTCACTCCACACCTCACTTGAGATCAAGGGGAAAGTTCTAGAAGCTGTGCCCAAGGGCATGGCCAGTGGACGCTGCAGAAGGAAGCTGGAGGTCTAGGCCCACTTCCCCAGGGACAGAGGCTCTCTGCTAGGCCCATGGTGCCCTTGGTCTGACACCCAGGCCCAGGGAGGTTAGGGACCCACTGGTCAGATATCTCCATCTGGAGCCCTGGGTGTACTCTCCCCACATTCAAGAATGTGGCCAGAAGGCAAGCTGATAGAGGAAGGGGCTGGAGAACATGACATATAAGTCTCGGTCAAACAAACAGCACATCTACCCAGAAAAGACTAGGCAGTGGGGTACATCATGGCAGTCTTCCTGAAGGTGAAGGCCTGTTATCTGCATGAAAGAAGAAGCAGGAGCAAGAAGGGGGAGACCTGGGACAATGGGGGGGCTCTGGAGGGGGTGAGTTCCCCCTACATTGAAGTACTCGCACATTGGGGATGAAGCAGAGGTAGATGGAGAGAGCTGGCCATCTCCACCCCCAAGGCTGGATTACCTGGTTTCTGAGATCCCTTCTGAGAGCCTGTGATTCCCCAGGGTCACCAGAAGGTTGCTCTTCTGGCCAAGGCCAAGCTCCCTACAGACCCAGGAGATCCCATTCCACCCCTCCACCCCCATCATCCCCATTTCTCCCCAGCAGTCACCCTACAAGAACACCTGTGTCTCTCCTAAGCCCTTGTCCATGCAGCTCCCCATTTCACACCAAGGCTGCCTACAACCTGTACTTCCACCTCCTTTTGTCTTGTGTTCTCCTTGGTTCTACCAGCATCTCCAGGGAGACCCGGGGCAAGGGTCTCCCTCTCCCTGCCCATAAAATAAGGGAGCCATTTTCCATCCCTTGGTGCTATGAAGGCATCGTCAGGACACCAGCCCCGAGGCGGGGTCTCTGGGTCACATGGCTTGTCTTATGGCCACAGAGCCCTGAAAGCTGGCTGAAGCTCTTCCCACACTGGTTACAGATGTAGGGCTTCTCCCCTGGGTGTGTCCTCTGGTGGACAGCCAGCTGGGTACTACGCCAAAAGCCCTTTCCACAGCAGAAGCACTTGTAGGGTCTCTCCCCAGCGTGGACTCTCTGGTGTCTCTTCAGACTGGAGTTCCAACTGAAGCCCTTTCCACAGAAGGCACAGTCATATAGCTTCTCCCTGGTGTGGGTGACCTGGTGCACGCCCAGGTGGGAACTCCAGGGGAAGCCCTTCCCTCAGCTGGGACACTGGTGGCGCTTCTCCCCTGGGGCACAATAGGGCTGACTTCTTGTCCTTGAGGTCACCCCCTGGGGGCCCCGGAGGGAGGAAGGAAACTACCTGGCATGGGGGCTTGCATCCTGCCCCCTGGCTTCCCCTTCAGTTTGCCCAGGACACAGAGGGGCCTCTCCTCATCTCTCCCTCCCCCAAATCTTCCCCGGACTCTTCTCCTGAGGTGTGTTGGGAGGTGCCCTCCAAAGCCTCACTTCCAGGGTCTGTATCTGGAGGACTCCTTTTTGTACTCTCACTCCTATCTCTTGGAGGGAGAAGACCTCAAGTGAGAGGTGTGGATAGGACTGAGCTTGGCCTTGGCCCTCCCTCACTCCCTGGTCTCTGCTCTCTTGAGGGTTCCTCTCCTGATCTCTGGGGTCCCAAAGACTCCAAACTGTGGAGAGCCCTGGGCTGCCCTCACTAGACAGGGGGCCCCCAGCATCACCAAGGTACCTAACTGTGGACAAATCTCTCCCGCTTAGGACCCTCTTCTCAAAAATGACGTGAGCAGCATTGTGATCCCTTGAGTGGTATATTCAGCTACTATAGAAAGTGTTACAAAGGTGAGCCCAAGAGTTTGGTCCAGTCCTCCAAGGCTAAGGCCTTCCTCAATAACTGCCAGACAGGTGAGGGGTAGGGGGGGTGAGTATCTCCCAGGTCCCCACTCTCGTACCCTGGGGAACCTAGCCAGAAGTCACTGGGTACTGGAGGAAGGGAGCACCCTGGCCTGGCAGGGAGTGATGGGTTCCTCACTTGGACAGGCTCCTTCCAGGGTCTCTGGTCCCTAAGGCTCTGCCCCCTGCTCTATCAGGGTGATCAGCTCAGGTTTGGGAGAAATAATTCCTACCAACCAGAGGGAAGGAAGGGATGAGGCCTGGCCCCCAGCCCCAGCCCTGGCTCCACCTCCTCCCCAGAGCCCCGGTCAAGGCACAAGGGCCCTGTCCCAGCCAGGCCCCCCCAAGTCCTGACCCTGGGAGATCATGTTTCCATAGTTCTCCCGCATGATGTCCCAGTAGTGTTTCTTCTGTGCAAGATCCAGATGTTTCCACTGCTCCTGGAAGACAAGCACAGAAGCTGTGACCTGCCACTAACCAGGCAGCCCCTTGCTCTTGGGAAAACCCCCTTCAGCTGAAGACAGCTCATATAGCCCCAGGCCCTCAGGCTTGGGTCCTGCCTGAGTGATGCCTCCAGTGCGAGCATGGTCATCTTCGTTCAGATGGACCCCAGCTATGGTTTACCCATAGCTGAGGGCAGAGGACAAAGGCACCAACTGGCCTCTCCAAGTGTGGCCTACACTGCATTGTGTGGGCCGCCATGTTTATACACATGCCAGCTCTAGCACCATGCCACATGTTAGAGCTGGAAGGGACCTTCTTGTCATTGTTGTGAAGCCCTTTTCAGTCACGTCTGACTTTTCTTGACCCCATTTGGGGTGTTCTTGGCAAAGATACTGGAGTGGTTTGCCATTTCCTTCTCCAGCTCATTTTACAGATGAGAAACTGAGGCAAACAGGATTAAGTGACTTGCCCAGGGTCACACAGCTAGGAAGCGTCTGAGGCCAGATTTGAACCCAGAAAGAGTAGTCTTGCTGACTCCAGGCCTGGCACTTTATCTGTGCCATCTAGTTGCTCCACTTTTGTAGAAGCATATTAAAAACTTTTTTCAACTAAAAAATTCAACTAAAAAAATTCAACTAAATTCAACTAAAAAAATTAATATTTTCCTGAGCCTATAACCACCAAAAAGAAAGTCTTTTCTTAGGGGAGTAGATTGAATAATAACCAAACAACTCATTTCTTTTTAAAGATCAGATGATTTCCTCCCCACCTGAAGCAACTGGCAATGACTCACCTAAGGGAAACTTCCTCTTTTTCATTCAAGATTAAGATATTGATCCAAAGGAAGAAACCCTTTTCAAACCTTGAAGTGGGGCTGTGGTCAAGGAAGGAATTGAGTGGCACCTATTTTGGAATCTTAACCCCAAACTGTATTTTAACATTCATGATCTCTTCTTTATTTGAGATTCTTATAAATGTGAACTCAAACCATCTCAGGGTAAAAGACTTGTCAGAAGGCATGGGAGGATTAGACCATTTTGCTCATCTCTGTCTCGAAGCTAGAAATGCTTGGCTATTAAGTGAAATCATTTAATTATGTAAAATTGTTTCTGACAGTTAAGAAGAAAACACAGTGAACAGTAATAATTTTTTTTTCTTCAACACTATTAAACAAAACAGTCAAAATCAAGTGCAATCCCAACATTTCCTCACCAGAAGGACAAAGCAACAAGAATAATCAAACATCACGCTTCCTCAGGAAAAGGAGAGAAGAGATCAGCATCAGCAATAGTCCACACATATGCCTGAGTCACCTCCTCCCCACAATCTGTGTGGTGTCCACGGAGAAGAGGCCGCATGTGTCTGAGACAACTCCCATCCCTGGACTGCAGACCTCAATCATCTTGGCACCTTCAGAAACGCGTTTGCCTCCCACAAATGTCCTTCTTCTGCCTTCGTTCCCCCATGGGAGGGGCAGGGCCTTGCTCAAGTAAGTGGATGAACAAGCCTGTCACTGCCCTCCATGGGTTCCTCCCACCAGGCGGAAGCAGGCTACAGTTGAATTGTATGTGTCCAGATTGAAGGACATTCGGACTGAAAACAAACAGCCAGCAGTTGTGAATATAGGCATGAAAAAAACAGGGTATTCCAGATATGGGGGACAGCTTGTCCCAAGGGCCAGAGACAGCAGCTCAGAGTGGAGATGGGGGGAGCAGGAAGCCAGATCCTGAAGGGCTTCAAGGGCCAAGCTAAAGAATTCTTATTTGGTCCCGGAAGTTGTAAGGAGCCATTGACGGTTACTGAGCAGAGGAGTGGCAGTCAGACGAGCGCTTTAGAAAGATGGTCTTGGCAGCTGTGTTGAAGATGGCTCAAAGAAGGGAGGGACTAATGAAGGCAGAGAGCACTTCAGAGGCTATTGCAGTAGTCATGGTGGGAGGTGGTTGGCTGGTTGTCCTTCGTTCTTGAAGAGGACCAAAATGGCATCACTGTGTTAGAGTCAAGTTTCAGTGTGTCCGACTGGCTGATCGGACCAACGAGAGCTCGGAAGCTTCCACCACAGGGCGGGCACAAATAGCCCATGTGAACATTTGGGGTGACTTCTCCAAATCTGCACCTTTAGTGTGGCTTTTGAGCTGCTTCAATTTGGCTTTGCTCCTAGAGCAGAGCACCTTCTCTGCTGAGGGCACGCCATGCTGGGCCGTCCCGTGGTACTGCGCCTGTGTCTCCCATGTCACACCATCAGTTCCACAGGGGTGGGCGGTATTGAAGGCTTGGAGAAGGCTGCTGGAGTGGCTCCCTCTAAAGCTACCAGCAGATCTCCTGAGGCTTAATCCAATGGCCTCTTCTCAGCCCTCATTCTCCTCGACCTCTGCAGCCTTTGACTCTGCTGCTACTCTCCTCTTTGATCTCCTCTGCCCTCCAGGTTTTCAGGATCCCACCACCCCGTTCTCCTCCTCCCTCTCTGGCCGCTCCTTTTCTATCTTCTTTGCCGGAGTGTCCTCCAGGTCAGACCCCTAACTATAGTGTCCCTCAGGGCTCTGTCCTGTGCCCTGTGCTCTTCACTCTCTAGACTTGCTGATCTCACCAACTCCCATGGATTTAATGACCATCTCTATGCTGATGATTCTCAAATCTGCCTTTCCTGCCCCAGTCTCTCTGCTGACTCCAATTTTTGTATCTCCAACTGCCTTTCAGACATTTCCAACTGGATGCCCCATAGATGTTCTAATTTCAACATGTCCAAAACAGAATTCGCCATTTTCCCCTGCCACCCAACCAGCCTCCTTCATTTCCTGTCACTGTAGAGCACAACACCATCCTCACAGTCCCCCAGGCTCCCAGCCTCAGAGTCACCCTGGCTTCCTCCCTCTGTCTCTCTCAAACCCCATACCCAATATGGTGCCAAGGCCTGCTGACTTCACCTGTGCACCATCTCTCCAATAACGCCCCCTTCTCTCGTCTAACACTGCCCCTACCCTGGTGCAGGCCCTGATCCCTTCACACCTGGACTATTGCAATAGCTGCTGGGGTGGGGATAGGGGTGGGGGTGGGGGGAGGGCACGGTGCCTGCCTGCCTCTAGCCTCCCCAGTCCAGTCCATCCTTCATTCAGCCACTAAGGTGATTTTCCTGAGGTGCAGGTCTGACCATAATCTCCAGAGGCTCCCTATTGCCTCCAGGAGCAAATACAAAAAGCTCTCCTTGACATTTAAAGCCCCTCATAACCCAACCCCCTCCTCCCTTTCTAGTCGCCTTCCAACTTATTCCCTACCACATACTCTTTGCGCCAGTGACATGGACCGTCTGGCTGCTCTGTGAACTAGGCCCTCCATCTCTTGGCTCCGGGTGTGTTTTCTGGTTGTTCCCCAGGCCTGGAATGCTCTTCCTATTCATCTCCACCTGGTTCCATCAGGACTGTTCCCATCAGGGTCCAGAGGAAGATATTGGTGGTTGGACTTGCCAGGACCTGCTGTCTCCTGTCGCCTGCATCCTGGGGATGCCACGCTGCTTCAGCTGGGCTCTGGCATCTGACTGCTCTGTGAGTAGCAGCGGCTGGGGGCAGCTGGCTCCTTCTCCACAGGACAGCCTTCTCTGCACGATGGTGGTGAGGGCTGGGCTAGACGCAGGACAGAGGGTCTGGGAGGGGCTGCCCCTCTCGGGGCTCCTGGGTTCATCTGGCTGATGGTGATAGTTTGGCAGCAATTGGATGATAAGAAAGCGGGACTTCCAAAGGGGTTTTTTGAACTATGTTGGGAGACCAAAGAAAGAGCACCTTTGTAGCTAACTGACCACAAAGAGACGGGCACCTGCTCACTTCCTGTTTGGCTTGTCTTCTTTGCTCCGGAGAATGACCTTTATCCTGGTGGCTGGTGCTGCGCCAAGAAAGGAGATGGGAAGAGAGCGATTCTCTGCTCTTGGTGAATTCGAGCCCCGGCTTTGTCCTCCAGTCTTGGAAAGACAGGCCACTGTCCGTGCTCTTGGAACAGCAGCGGAAAATGAGAGCGGCCCCACAAGATGGAAGGAGATGAGTGAGGTGGGCTTTGGTTCTGGCAACTGGCATTTATTAAGCACTTACTATGTGTCCAGCACCATCCTAAGGCTGGGAAGGGTAGGAAATCAGCATTTATTGAGTGCCCACTATATGCCAGGCACCACGTTGAGCACTTTACAAAGATGATCTCATTTGATCCTCAAAACAACCCTAAATGCAAAGTTGGTGCTGTTGTTATCTGAGTTTTACTGGTGAGTAAACTGAGGCAGATAGAGGTGAAGTGACTTGCCCAGGACACAGCTGGTAAGGGTCCTGGCGCTCTGTCACCTGGCCACCTCTGTACTGGGGTGCAGGTATAAAGTAGAGAGACAGTTCATACCCTCGAGGAGTTCACATTCTCATGAGGGAAGGAAGCCTGAAAGGGTCTAAGAGTTCAGGACTGAGAGGTGGCTTGGGGTGATGGAGTCCATCCTGGAAAGGTATGAGATGTAGCTGGCCCGAGCACCTTCTTTGAAGGAAGGTTCCTGAAGGAGCCACCCAATCAGAGGGTGAAGCGACAGGGTGAGACGGTGCTTCCAAACGAGCGAATTCCAGGGCTGGGAAGAGGGTTCTGGAGGAAGAGCTGGGCACGGTGGAGGGCACTCCCAGGACAGCCTGCAGAGAAATTCCTGGGTCCTTGGAAAATTCTAGGGTAACTCTTTGAAGAGACGGTTGGCGGAGCTTTAGAAGAGGAAGCAACGGCTGCGGCCCACGCTGGCTTGGTCTTCATGCCCTCGTTGGCAAGATTACTCCACAAGCAGATGAGGAACACATGGTTTACCCAAACTTTGGCAAAGTGTCTTGTATTCTTCTTACAGAGAAGATGGAGGGTATGGACAAGACAAGAGTGGCCAATCAATCACCGTTAAGCACCTACCAGGTGCCCAGCTCTGTGCGCAATTAGACGGGTGCCTTACTGCCCAGATGGCTTGGCTCCGAGGATCTGTTTAATGTCAGCATGACAGGAGGTCACTGGAGGGTCCCAGAGATGTGTTCGAGGCCCTGGGCTTTTAACATTTTTATCTACGACTTGGATGAGAACACCAGGCCAGGAGATAGCTAGCTAATATGGTGTGTGTGTAGGGGGTGCCCAGACCAGATATGGGGAGGGCTGTGGCAGATGACAGAAGGAGAGGGGAGGAGGTCAATCAGAGCTCGTCTCCGTGGCAACCGCTGTGCCCTCCCCCCCTCCCCCGTCTTATGGGGAGGAGGGGCCGGCAAGCCGCGGGG